GATTGATGGATGAATGAATTGGTAGGTGGGTAGGGTGGATGGGTGAATTGGTGAATGGGTAGGTGGATGGATGAATGAATTGGTGGGTGGGTGGATGGATGGATGAACTGGTGGGTGGGTGGATGGATTGATAGGTGAATGAATTGGTAGGTGGGTAGGGTGGATGGATGAATTGGTGGATGGGTAGGTGGATGGATGAATGAATTGGTGGGTTGGTGGATGGGTGGATGAATTGGTAGGTGGGTAGGTGAATGGATGAATGGGTTGGGGGGTGAATGGATGGATGCATTGGTGGGTGGATGGATGGATGGATGGATGGCTTCATGGTTGGGTGATAAATATATTCATGGGTATACATATGGATGTGTACATAGATAATTCTCTGGCTATGGTGGGGAGGACTGGCTATAGTAGGGAGGACTCAGTAGGACCAGGAGAGTCTGGAGGCAGGAAAGAGTTAGGAAGCAATTGCAGCAGTCCTGGCAGGGAATAATTTGGGGCTAGGATCAGGTCAATTAAATGTTTAACATTGGAACTATGTCTCTTGTATACATAACTGCATATATCAAGTCTTGATATTATTTTCTTTCTAGCAGGGCAAATTCCTTTGGAATGAGCTTTTACTGGCAACTGCTCAGAAGCTGTTCTGTATATAATGACCACCAACAGTTTAATCCTTTTTTCACCCGTCACCTTAGGAATTAACAGTAGTGTGAAATAAATTAAAATAATCAGTCTTTGAGATGTCTTGCCTGTTCCACGATCAACTTCTTCTTTACAAGGCTGTGTTCCAAATCTGCCAGGCCAAAAAGACACAAAGTTTGTGAACTTTGTCCTTTTTAGGGTTTGTGTCTTGATGTTTCCTAGCTAAATCTCTGTGTGTGTTTGTTGGCCTTGTAAGGTTTACTTTTTTTTTTTGAGATGGAGACTCACTATGTTGCCTGGGCTGGCGTGCAGTGGTGCCATCTTGGCTCACTACAACCTCTGCCTCCTGGGTTCAGGTGACTCTCCTGCCTGAGCCTCCCGAGTAGCTGGGATCACGGACGTGCACTACCATGCCCGGGTAATTTTTATGTTTTTAGTAGAGATGGGGGTTTCACTATGTTGGCCAGGCTTGTTTCAAACTCCTCACCACCTGCCTAGGCCTCCCAAAGTGCTGGGATTATAGGCATGAGCCACCGCGCCCAACCTAATAACTAGATCTCTTTAATTATTGGAACGTGTATATTTTGATCAGATTGACACATTTTTTTTAAAGTGAAGTGATCTTATTTCCTTCATTTCTCATTTTTAACTTTTTTTTTTTTTTGACATGGCTTTAGAGCTGTGTGGAGCTGTAAGGGTGTGGATTCCTTGACATTCCATGGGGTCTCAGGTGGTCGTGGGAGGGCTGTTGGAATCAGAGTTACTTGGAGGGTGCATAGGCCGGTTGGATGGGAAGCCTGGGAGAAGTGGGCTTTTTGGGGACTGCAGCCAACTGGACAACTGGGTCCAATCTAAAGACTGGCCCCTCCCAGCTCCTGGTGATGGTCATATACCAGGAATAGGGGCCCAGCGCCACCAGATTTTCTGATTTTTTTTTGTTTGTTTGTTTTTTAAGACATAGTCTTGCTCTGTCGCCAGGCTGGAGTGCAGTGGCACGATACTGGCTCACTGCAACCTCGGCCTCCCAGGTTCAAGTGATTCCCCTGCCTCAGCCTCCTGAGTAGCTGGGACTACAGGCATGCGCCACCATGCCTGGCTAATTTTTTGTATTTTAGTAGAGATGAGGTTTTACCATGTTGGCCAGGATGGCCTTGATCTCCTGACCTCGTGATCCTCCTGCCTCGGCCTCCCAAAGTGCTGGGATGACAGGCGTGAACCACCACGCCCAGAAGATTTTCTGATTTTTAAAGTTATGCCAGAGACTGGGCGCAGTGGCTCAGGCCTGTCATTCCAACACTTTGGGAGGCCGAGGGTGGCAGATCACCTGAGGTTTAGGACTTCGAGACCAGACTGGCCAACATGGTAAACCCTTGTCTCTACTAAAAATTCAAAAAAAATAAGCCGAGCGGGGTGGCACGTGACTGTAGTCCTAGCTACTTAGGAGGTTGAGGCAGGAAAATCACTTGAACCCGAGAAGCAGAGGTTGCAGTGAGCCAAGATCGCTTGAACCCAGGAAGCGGAGATTGCAGTGAGCTGAGATCACGCCACTGCATTCTAGTCTGGGTGACAAAGCAAGAGTCTGTCAGAAAAATAAAAATAAAATAAAAAGCCGGAAATCAAAATTTAAATGTTGGAATCTAATCTAATCTTTTTTTTTTTTTTTAAATAAAAAGTATGCCTAAAACAATAGCAGTAATAACAAGCCATCTATGGGCCAAACTTTGGGTGGGGAAACCTGTTTCGTACCTCTTATCCAATGTAACTGTGGTGGAGACAGGAAATTGAGATCCCGAAAAGGGCAGTGAGTTTTCTCAAAGTTGTTTAGTCAGTTGCCAGATTATGGCTTGAATTAAATTTAAATGCTTCAGCTGGGCATGGTGGTGCATACCTGTAGTGTAGCTGCTTGGGAGGCAAAGGTGCGAGGATTGCTTGAGCCCAAAAGTTCAAGGCACAGGGAGCTGTGATCTTGCCACCACACTTAAGCCTGGGCAACAGAGCAAGACCTCATTTCAAAAAAAGAAAAATTTAAATTCTTCATTACAGAACAGCTGATGGTGGAGGTTTATTCTTGGGCAGGTACATATCTGATCTATTTATGTGTGTATCTATGAATTTATCTATTTGGCACAGCTCTTTAACAAAATACAGGCCTTTTTTTTTTTTTTTTTTTTTTTTTTAAAGTAAGAGTAATTGAAACAAAATTTGTTTCCAAGGCTGGACAGCTCAGTGGTAAAATGCAGACTTGAACCACATTGCCTGAGTTTGAATTCAGCTCCAGAGCTTACCAGCTGTGTGATACTGAACACGGTATTTAACCCTTCTCTGCCTGACTTTCACATCTGAAAAAGGAGATGATAAAAATACTTATAGAATGAAAGGAGATAATACACATGAGGTACTTAGAATAAAGCCCGGCACACAGAACTGCAATTTGGTTGTTATCCCTGGTGGTGGTGGTGATGGTTGATGATGGTTATGGTGATGGTGGGGGTGGTGGTGGTGGTGGTGATATTGGTGATGGTGATGATGGCGGTGGTGGTGATGGTGGTGGTCATGATGGCGGCAGTAGTGATGATGGCGGTAGTATTGGTGGTGGTGGTCGTGGTGGTGGTGATGGTGGTGGTGGTGATGGCAGTGGTGGCAGTGATATTGGTGGTGGTGATGATGGCGGTAGTATTGGTGATGGTGGTGGTGGTGGTGGTGGTGATGGCGACGGTGGTGATGGCGACGGTGGTGATGGCGACGGTGGTGATGATGGCGTTGGTGGTGATGGCGTTGGTGGTGATGGCGTTGGTGGTGATGGCGTTGGTGGTGGCAGTGATATTGGTGGTGGTGATGGTTTGGTGGTGATGGTGGTGATGGCGATGGTGGTGATGATGGCGATGGTATGGTGTTGGCAGTGATATTGGTGGATGGTGGTGATGGTGATGATGGCGATGGTGGTGATGATGGTGATGATGGCAATGGTACGGTGTTGGTAGTGATATTGGTGGTGATGATGGTGGTGATGGTGATGGCGATGGTGGTGATGGTGGTGATGATGGCGATGGTATGGTGTTGGCATTGATACTGGTGGTGATGATGGTGGTGATGATGATGGCGATGATGTTGGCGATGGTGGTGATGATGGTGATGGTATGGTGTTGGCAGTGATATTGGTGGTGATGATGGTGGTGATGGTGGTGAGGGTGGCAATGGTGGTGATGGTGGTGATGATGGCGATGGTATGGTGTTCGCATTGATACTGGTGGTGATGATGGTGGTGATGCTGATGATGGCGATGGTGGTGATGATGGTGATGGTATGGTGTTGGCAGTGATATTGGTGGTGATGATGGTGGTGATGGTGGTGAGGGTGGCAATGGTGGTGATGGTGATGATGGCGATGGTATGGTATTGACAGTGATATTGGTGGTGGTGGTGGTGATGGTGGTGATGATGGCGATGGTGTGGTGTTGGCAGTGATATTGGTGGTGATGGTGGTGATGGTGATGGTGGTGATGATGGCGATGGTGGTGATGATGGCGATGGTTTAGCCCTCAGTTCAGAGGGCTTTCTAAGGTCAGAGTGATCTAGATGACACAGGTTCTTCGGTTATAAGAGAATATCCTTCAGCGTTCCTTTAAATGGCTGTCTCCATCTTTTATACTACAGTGGGACTTGCCACAGGTTCTGGGACTGTTAATGTGACATGAGATGCTACATAGCTTTTTGTTGGGTTTTTTTTGTGTGTATGCACTGTTTTGTGTGTGTGTGTGTGTGTGTGTGAGAGAGAGAGAGAGAAAGAGAGACAGGGTCTTGCTCTGTTGCCCAGGGTGTAGTGCAGTGGCATGATCTTAGCTCACTGCAACTTCTACCTTCCAGGCCCAGGCAGTCCTCCTACTTCAGCCTCCTGAGTGGCTGGGAATACAGGCACGTTCCATGCTCAGCCATTTTTTGTGTTTTTCATAGAGGCAGCATCTCACTATGTTGACTAGGCTCGTCTTGAACTCCTGGCCTAAGGTGGTCTGCCCACTTGGCCTCCCAAAGTGCTGGGATTACAGGCACGAGCCAGGCATCTGACTTGTGTGCTCCTGCTAAGAGAGCTTTATTTTTATTTATTAATTTTGAAACAGGGTCTTTGCTGCTCAGGTGGGAGTGCAGAAGGCACCACGTACCTTTATCCCTTGTTCCTTGTTTCTTAGTCTTTCTGGCTACTGATCTTTTGAGTTTGTGTGTTCATCCTGAGAGGTCCTTGGATATATAGGAGCCTTGTCTGTTTCTTCAAACCCCGTGGCAGCTGGTTTCACGCCCCAGGCGAGCTCCTGTCCTCTGGGGTGTGTCCTGCTGACCCCTCGCCTGTGTTTGTGTTCGCAGGACTGGAATGTCACGTGGTATACCAGCAACCCTGACTTCACCAAGTGCTTTCAGAACACGGTCCTCGTGTGGGTGCCTTGTTTTTACCTCTGGGCCTGTTTCCCCTTCTACTTCCTCTATCTCTCCCGACATGACCGGGGCTACATTCAGATGACACTTCTCAACAAAACCAAAACTGTAAGTCACCAGGGGGTTTTGTTGTAGGGGGCGGGGAGGTGCACCTGGACGGGGAGTGGTGGTTGGTGAGACCTGACATTTCTCTTATAGTTAGTTGACTCTTAAGTTCCTTCTTCTAGAAGGCAGAAGAGTAATGTGGGAGGTGAAAACTGGAGCTCTGGAGACACACATGGGTACAAATCTTGGCTCTGCCACTTAGTATTTGGCCTGGAGCAAATTTTTTAACCTTCCCAAGCCTCAGTTTCCCTGTTTATGCAACATGAATGATAGGATTGTTCTCAAGGCATTACTGGGAGGTTATCAGCTCTTCCCCTCTTACTGAGGCGATCTCCTTTTTATTTAATTAAATATATGTATATAGATTTTTTTTTCTGGCCAATTTTTAATTTATTTTTTGTAGAGAGAGGGATCTTGCTGTGTTGCCCAGGCTGGTCTTGAATTGAAACCTGGCCTCAAGCAGTCCTCCTGCCTTGGTCTCCCAAAGTACTTGGATTACAGGTGTGAACCTCCATGCCTGGCCCCTAATTTTTTTTTTTTAAAGTTGACTTTTATTTTGAAATAATTTAAAGCTGCAGGAAAATTGCAATAATAGGCCGGGCGTGGTGGCTTACGCCTGTAATCCCAGCACTTTGGGAAGCCAAGGCGAGCGGATCACTTGAGGCCAGGATTTCGAGACCAGCCAGGCCAACATAGTGCACCCTGTCTCTACGAAAAATATAAAAATGAGCTGGGTGTGGTGGCACATGCCTGTAATCTTAGCTACTTGGGAGGCTGAGGCGAGAGGATCCCTTGAACCTAGGAGGCGGAGGTTGCAGCGAACTGAGATTGTGCCACTGCACTCTAGCCTGTGCAACAGAGCGAGACTCCTTCTAAAAAAAAAAAAGTTGCAATAATGATACCAGGAACTGCTGCCTAATTTTCTCTATCTATCACTCATAGTCACTGTTTTTTTGTTTTGTTTTGTTTTGAGACGGTGTTGCTCTGTCATCTAGGCTGGAGTGCAATGGTTTGATCACAGCATACTGCAACCTTGAACTCCTGGCTCAAGCCATCCTGCCTTAGGTTTTTGAGTAGCTAGTAGCTGGGACTGCAGGCATACACCACCATGCCTGGCTAATTTAAAACAATTTTTTGTAGAGACAGGGTCTCGCTTTGTTGCCCAAGCTGTTCTCAAACTCCTGGCTTCCAGTGATCCTCCTGCCTCGGCCTCCCAAAGTACTGATATTACAGGCATGAATCCGGCCTGTGTTCACTGATTTTTTTAACCTTTTGCTACATTTGTTTTATCATGAGCTTTTGCTCTCTCTATATATATGTGCATGCCATAATTTATTTTTTCTGAATCATTTGAGAATGGATGCACCTTGAGACATATCCCACCCACAGAGGACCCTCAGTAAATACTGGTTGAATGAATGGTTGTCGTGGAGGGCTTTCTTGTGCAGTGTGCCGGGGTTGAAGCTAGAGATGGGCTGTGGGCTGAGCTCTTGAGTGTTCAGGCAGTGGGGAGCATGGTGACCAGACACACAGTCCTGTTGGAGGCAGTGGGGCGGAGCAAGCCAGTTACAGACCGTCACGTGCCAGCCTGGATGCCACCTCACCCTACCGAGGACTTGTCCTCATCCCAGAGAATATGTGCCGTGTCCTAGGACTGTGGCTGATCGCTTGAAGGCTGGCTAGTTCCCCTACCCCTGGGGCTGAGCTGTTTGCGCAGGCCCTGGGGGAGGTTCCAGTGCTGTCTGTTGTAGGACGTGTATGTGCTTCTCTTCCAGGCCTTGGGATTTTTGCTGTGGATCGTCTGCTGGGCAGACCTCTTCTACTCTTTCTGGGAAAGAAGTCGGGGCATATTCCTGGCCCCAGTGTTTCTGGTCAGCCCAACTCTCTTGGGCATCACCATGGTAAGTAGGAGCTGGCTGTGATCCCTGGGCCATCTGCTGGGCTCAGTGGAGACCAAAAGTAGTAACTGGCATTTAGAAATATAAAGACACAGGCTGGGTATGGTGGCCCATGCCTGTAATCCCATCACTGTGGGAGGCTGAGACAGGTGGATCACTTGAGGTCAGGAGTTCAAGACGAGCCTGGCCAACATGGCAAAACCCCATCTTTACTAAAAATACGTACATACATGTATGAGATATTTATGTATATGAGATATATATGTATATGTGAGATATAGATATGTAAGAGAGAGAGATATATATACACACACACACACATAAAGCCCTTGCTGTAAAAACTCAGAAACCTGGCTTTTCTTGAAAAACTCAAAGATCTCGCAAGAGTAGAATCATAGTTTTTCTGAGGCAGTGATCAGCTGGAACTGGGATACAAATGTAGCCTTTTTTTTTTTTTTTTTTTTAAAGGAGATGGGATCTCACTTTCATCCAGGCTGGAGTGCAGGGGCATTATGATGGTTCACTACAGCCTCAAACTTCTGGCCTCAAGCAATCCTCCTACCTCAGCCTTCTGAGTAGTTGGGACTACAGATGTGTGTCACCACGCACAGCTTATTTTTGGCTAATTTTAAAATTTTTTGTAGAAATGGGATCTCACTGTGTTGTCTAGGCTGGTCTTAAACTCCTGGCCCAAGTGATCCTCCTGTCTGGTCCTCCCAGAACACTGGCATTATAAGCATGAGCCACTGTTCCCAGCCCCAACTGCAGTCTTTGGATGGGGCGTGTGTTGTCCGGTTTGCCACGATCCCCACCACGCCTTACTGTCTTCCCTGCCACTGATTCTGAGTGACAGATGCCACCTTTTGTTGTGTTTGCCATACTTTGCTCTTGTACTGGCTACTTTGGTCACTTACATACTAACTGCCGGGGGCCTAAGGGCCTTGAGTTTTTAATATGTGGCGTAGGGGGTGGGTTGCTAAGCTAAACAGGGAACTGCTCTGTCCCAGGGGGATACACAACTTAGTGAGAGAGACAAGGAAACAACTTTATTAATTACAGCTGACATGTGTGGATCACTTACTATATATGTACCTGGCAGTATTCTTGGTGTTTCATGTGTCTTGAAATTGATTGAATTTTCACAACAACCCTGTGAGATGGGTACTGCTTTGTCCCCATGTTACAGGTGAGGAAACAAGGCACGGAGAAGTTAAGTGTCCTATTCAAGGTCACACTGCTCATCTGCAGCTGAGTCAGGGGTGGGATCCCAGAGGCCATGCTTTTAGCTCCTGCAGCCTGCAGCTTCTGAGCCCCTGATCAGAGAGTTCTCGGAGAGTGTAGCCCTCAAGTATTGTAAAAAGAGGAGGGAGGCTGGGCATGGTGGCTCATGGTTGTAATCCCAGCACTTTGGGAGGCCAAGGTGGGAGAATCACTTGAGGTCGGGAGTTTGAGACCAGTCTAGCCAACATGGCGAAACCCCATCTCTACTAAAAATAAAAAAATTAGCAGGCGTGGTGGCACACGCATGTAGTCCCAGCTACTCAAGAGGCTGAGGCAGGAGAATTGCTTGAACCTGGGAAGCAGAGGCTGCAGTAAGCCGAGATTGCGCCACTGCTCCAGTCTGGGGGACAGAGCGAGACCTCATCTCAAAAAAGAAAAAAAATAAAAAGAAAGAGCAAGTTTAAGGCAGGACATTCTGAGCAGGGTGAACAGGTTGTCCAGGGAGGGGTAGAAGGTTAAGGGGAGTATGCAGGCAGGGAGGGCGAGGTGTTCCATGAAGGAACACAGTGTGAAGGTTGAGGGAACAGAGTGGACGTGACAGAGGGGTCAGGAAAGGCAATGTGGAACCAGGTTGCCAAGGACCATGAATCTTTATTTTTCTAAATTAATTTTTAATTTTTTAAATTTTAGAGTCAGAGTCATACTCTGTTGCCCAGGCTGGACTTCCCTGGCATGAGATCACAGCTCACTGTAGGCTTGAACTCCTGGGCTAAAATGATCCTTCTGCCTCAGCCTCCCAAGTAGCTGGGAACATAGACAAGTGCCAACATGCCCGGCTAAATTTATTTTTTATTTTCTTTCCCCTATCGGGGGAAACCCTTCCCCCAGTATTCAGTGTGGGTTCTTTTCTATTTCCCTAAGCGTCAGCTGGTCTGAGAAATAAAGGGAAAGAGTACAAGAGAGAGAAATTTTAAAGCTGGGTGTCTGGGGGAGACGTCACACATCGGCAGCTTCCGTGATGCTCCTGAGCTGTAAAACCAGCAAGTTTTTATTAGCGATTTTGAAAAGAGGAGGGAGTATATGAACAGGGTCAGAGAGATCACATGCTTCACAAGGTAATAAAATACCACAAAGCAAATGGAGGCAGGGCAAGATCACAGGACCACAGGACAGGGCAAAATTAAAATTGGTAATGAAGTTTCTGGCACGCATTGTCACTGATAACATCAGGAGACAGGGTTTGAGAGCAGACAACGGGTCTGACCAACCTTTATTAGGCGGGAATTTCCTCATCCTGATAAACTTGGGAGCGCTACAGGAGACCGGGGCTTATTTCATCCCTTTGTCTTTGACCGTAAAAGACAACCACCCCCAAAGCGGCCATTTCGGAGGCCTACCCTCAGGGCGCATTCTCTTTCTCAGGGATGTTCCTTGCTGAGAAAAAGAATTCAGTGATATTTCTCCTTTTGCTTTTGAAAGAAGAGAAACATGGCTCTTTTTCGCCCAGATCACCGGCAGTAAGAGTTTAAAGTTATCTCCCTTGTTCCGTGAACATTGCTGTTACCATGTTCTTTTTTTCAAGGTGCCCAGATTTCATATTGTTCAAGCACACATGCGCTACAAACAATTTGTGCAGTTAACGCAATCATCACAGGGTCCGGAGGTGACATACATCCTCCTCAGCTTACGAGGATGATGGGATTAAGAGATTAAAGTAAAGACAGGCATAGGAAATCACAAGGTATTGATTGGGGAAGTGATAAGTGTCCATGAAATCTTCACAATTTATGTTCAGAGATTGTAGTAAAGACAGGCATAAGAAATTATAAAAGTAATAATTTGGGGAACTAATAAATGTCCATGAAATCTTCACAATTTGTGTTCTGCCATGGCTTCAGCCGGTCCCTCCATTTGGGGTCCCTGACTTCCTGCAACATTCCCCTGAGATGGAATTTCGCTCTTGTTGCCCAGGCTGGAGCATAATGGCGCGATCCTGACTTGCCGCAACCTCTGCCTCCCGGGTTCAAGCGATTTTCCTGCCTCAGCCTTCTGAGTAGACGGGATTACAGGCATGCACCACCACACGTGGCTAATTTTGTATTCTTAATAGGGGTGGGATTTCACCATGTTGGCCAGGCTGGTCTCGAACTCGTGACCTCAGGTGATCCATCTTGACCCCGCAAAGTGCTGTGATTACAGGCATGAGCCACCACCCCCGGCCAATTTGTTATTTTTATGGAGACGGGGTCTCCCTATGTTGCCCAGGCTGGCCTCAAACTCTTTGTCTCAAGTGATCTTCCTGTCTGGGCCTCCTAAAGTGCTGGGATGGTGGGTGTGAGCCACCATGCCTGGCCCAGACCATGATTTTTTATAACACGCATAGGTGCTGTCCACTCTCTGCCAGGAACTGTCCTAATTCCTTTATTTATTAACCCTTTTACATTGTATATTAGATAAGCAAACTGTGGTACAGAGAGGAGAAGCACTGGCCCAAGGTCACCTGGTCAGTAAGTGGTAGGGCCAGCTTCCAGTCTAGGCCCCAGTGTGTAGCCTGGCACCTGTGGGGCTCTCTCTGCTTCACGCCTGGCTCTCCTGCTGTGTTTGATTCCCCTTTGTGTCCTCCGAGCCTGGCACTGTGCCTGGCATGCAGTAAGCAACCCATAAATGTATGGAGGGAATGAGAGAGTAAAGGGCTTTGCTTTGTCCTGAATTTGGGTCTTGGGCTCAGCGTTCTGGCAGTGGGGTATTAGAGTGGATTTTTTTTTTTTTTTTTTTTTAATTTCACTATAATAGAGACAAGGTTTCTCCATGTTGCCCAGGCTAGTCTTAAACTCCTGGGCTCAAGTGATCCCCTCGCCTTGGCCTCCTAAAGTGGTGGGATTAAGGGCATAAGCCACTGTAACCTGGTCAGCTATTTTTGACTTGAGTAGATCGTCCTCCCTTAACTTTCCTTGTTCCTGGTCTTTTCTTTTTTCTTTGAGGCAGAGTTTCGCTCTTCTTGTCCAGGCTGGTGTGCACTCTTCTTGCCCAGGCTGGTGTGCAATGGCGCGATCTTGGCTCACTGCGACCTCGGCCTCCTGGGTTTAAGAGATTCTCCTGCCTCAGCCTCCCCAGTAACTGGGATTACAGGCACACGCCATCACGCCTGGCTAATTTTTGTATTTTTAGTAGAGACGAGGTTTCACCACGTTGGCCAGGCTGGTCTCAAACTCGACCTCGGGTGATCCACATGCCTCGGCCTCCCAAAGTGGTGGGATTACAGGTGTGAGCCACTATGCCCGGCCGTTCCTGGTCTTTGGATCGTTCATTTATGCCTCTGTCTGTCACCCTGGGGGTGACACGGGGGTGATAGTTGGAGGGCTGGGGCTTTTGACCCCTCAGGCGACTTTGAGCTGGGCTGGCCGAGAGGTGAACCGGCCTGTGAGATTGTCAGCCTGTCTTCGTCCACCTGAGGTCTCTGGGATGGAATGGAGGACAGCTCGCTGTGGATGCATCAGAAACGTTCTGACTACATTTCAGGGAACCAGAATATGCAGGCACTGGGAATATGGGACAGGATGCAGCCAGCACACATTTTTTTTTTTTTTTCTTTGAGATGGAGTCTCACTCTGTCACCCAGGCTGGAATGCAGTGGCGTGATCTCAGCTCACTGTAGCCTCCGTCTTCCAGGTTCAAATGATTCTCCTGCCTCAGCTTCCCAGGTAGCTGGGACTACAGGTGCACGCCACCACGCCTGGATAATTTTTGTATTTTTAGTACAGAGTTTCACCATGTTGGTCAGGCTGGTCTCAAACTCCTGACCTCAAGTGACCTGCCCGCCTTGGCCTCCCAAAGTGCTGGGATTACAGGTATGAGCCACTGCGCCCGGCTGATTTTTTTTTTTTTAATTTTTTATGCCTACTCTGTACCAGACATTGGAGACACAAGCATATAGTCTAGCTGTGCAAACAGACATTAAACAGATGATTCCTCAAAAAGGCACAAAGTGTTTAAACGTTGCAGAGTGCTGTGCGAGGGTGAAGGTGGGGAGCTTGGTTTGATCTGGAGGATAACCGGGCTTCTCTGAGGGAGGGATGGTGGAGCTGAAGCCTGAGAATGAGCAGGTTGTTAAAAAACTGAAGGGTCTGAGGGCAGAGGACCAGTTGGGAAGAATAGCACACAAAGTCCTGGGGGTGACAAGGGAAAACTTGAGAGTTCTGTGTGGCTGGAGCAGAGATGGCCGAGGCGGAGAGCAGGGACGATGGGGCAGAGGCTGACCCCGGGAAGGTTGAGCATCAGGACAGGTGGGTTTTGTTTTTCATTCCAGGTATTCTGCCTGTTCTTTTAAATAAAGTTTTATTGGCATGAAGGCATGTCCATTCATTTACATCTTGTCTATGGCCACTTTCACACAACAGTGGTAAAGCTGAGTAGTTTTGATGTAGAGTCTATGGCCCATGAAGTCCAAAATATTTATTATGTGGTCCATTAAGAAATAGTGTGGCTGGGAGCAATGGCTCATGCCTGTAATCCCAGAATCTTGGGAGGCCAAGGCAAGCGGATCACCTGAGGTCAGGAGTTTGAGACCAGCCTGGCCAACATGGTTAAACCCTGTCTTTACTAAAAATACAAAAATTAGCTAGGCATGGTGGCAGGCACCTGTAGTCCCAGCTACTTGGGAGGCTGAGGCGGGAGGGTCACTTGAACCTGGGAGTCAGAGGTTGCAGTGAGCTGAGACTGCGCCACTGCACTCCAGCCTGGGTGACAAGAGTGAAACTCTGTCTCAAAAAAAAAAAAAAAAGAAAAATAACCAACAACTCCTGTCGTGTGCTTCTCTCCTTAGCTGCTTGCTACCTTTTTAATTCAGCTGGAGAGGAGGAAGGGAGTTCAGTCCTCAGGGATCATGCTCACTTTCTGGCTGGTAGCCCTACTGTGTGCCCTAGCCATCCTGAGATCGAAAATTATGACTGCCTTAAAAGAGGTAAGTGGCGGTGGTCTCATTCCTCATCTTCCGTCAGTGGCCCCGGGGGGAGAGATGCTGGGTCCCTCTGGCTTGTGTAGGAGTCATGCGTTGCCATGGGAACCAGGGGATGGGTACCACAAGCACCTAGCTTCTCCCTTGGTGACTTCCCTATCCCACCAAATCCTCACCAAGTCAGCCCCAGCTTTTTTTCTAGCACCTTCTTTCCCCAGGGCCCGATTTGTCTTATGTTGCTCCCAGGGGCTCCCATGGGACCTCCAAGGACAGGAGCTGTGGGCAGATGCCAGGCTGGCCCCATCAGCAGGAAACAGCAAGACAGGCGGCTCCAAATGCTGCCAGGCTGGGATGGAGCCGAGCCGGGAACGGTGTTTGCAGAGTGACTGTTCCCCCGGGGGACCCTAGGCTTGTCCTCATGTTACCTTTGTCCCATCAGTTGCTGCTCTGGCTGGAGAAGTTGTTTACATTGGCTGCCGTGAGCTGCTCCTAGGAATTTTGAGGAGTGTGCACTTTTTTTGTTGTTGTTGAGACGGAGTCTCGCTCTGTCACCAGGCTTAAGTGGGTGATCTCGGCTCACTGCAACTTCCACCTCCTGTGTTCAAGTGATTCTCCTCCCTCAGCCTCCCGAGTAACTGGGACTACAGGCACACGCCACCACGCCCAGCTAATTTTTGTATTTTTAGTAGAGACGGGGTTTCACCATGTTGGCCAGGATGGTCTCGATCACTTGACCTGGTGATCTGCCCACCTCGGCCTCCCAAAGTGTTGGGATTACAGGCGTGAGCCACCGCGCCCGACCTGGAGTGTGTGCTTTTAGAATAACCTGCTGTTCCTGCCATCTTGGAGCTAATTAGAGACTGGCGTGAGGCAAAGGAAGGAAAAGACGCTGAACATTTGACTATTGAGCGCCTACATATTGTCATGAGTGATGGCAGCTGATGCTGATTGAGTTCATGTTTTCAAAGTGCCTCACAGGGGGACTATGTATGTTTCACAAATATTCTTCCTGACCTCTTGCAGTGACTTGGACAGAATTTCTCAGCCTCAGCACTAATCGACATTTTAGATACAACATTCTTGGTTGTAGGGGCTATCCTGTGCTTTGTAGACATTTAGGGGTGTCCCTGGCTTCCCCTGACTGGGTGCCGTAATACTCCCAAGTTACAACAAACAAGATGTCCCCTCACACTGCCACATGTTTCCTGGGAGGCAGAATCACCCCTGGTTAAGAACCATAGGTGATTTATAGGTGGGGAAACTGAGGCACAGAGTGGTTCAATAAGTTGACAAGATCCCACAGCTAGTATGGGAGAGCCAGGCCTTGATACAGCTCCGTTTCACTCCCAAGCCCTGTCTTCCTCCCGTCAGGCAGCGGTGAGCAGTGAGACTACTTGTGATGGAACCAGCTTTCTGCCACTACATCCTGGGGGGAGCTGGGAGCCCATGGGGAGTCTGCAATGGCCCTGCAGCTGAGCGGGTGCACCTTCCATGGTGCTGTCTGCCCTCTGGGTTTCTGCCACCTGCTCTCAGAAAGTGATCTTTTTTTTTTTTTTGAGATGGAGTCTGGCTTTGTCACACAGGCTCGAGTGCAGTGGCACGACATCGGCTCACTGCAGCCTCCGCCTCCTGGGTTCAAGTGATTCTCCTGTCTCAGCCTCCTGAGTAGCTGGGATTACAGTCACCTGCCATCACGCCTGGCTAATTGTTGTATTTTTAGTAGAGACGGGCTTTCACCATGTTGACCAGGCTGGTCTCCAACTCTTGACCTCAGGTGATCCGCCTGTCTCGGCCTCCGAAAGTGCTAGGATTACAGGCGTGAGCCACCGCACACAGCCCCACAATGTGATCTTTTTCCTCCTTCCTTCCCTACCATGCAGGACGTCCAGGTGGACCTGTTTCGTGACATCACTTTCTACGTCTACTTTTCCCTCGTACTCATTCAGCTCGTCTTGTCCTGTTTCTCAGATCGTTCACCCCTGTTCTCGGAAACCATCCACGACCCTGTAAGTGTGACCACAGACAAGTATGTGTGTCTGCGTGTGTGCATGTGTGTGTGAGTGTGAGAGAGAAACATGACACGCTACCAGCTAACATTTCTTAGATCCATCCAGGATCTCATTCCAGCCTCCCTCAACCCCTGATACAGGGAATATCGTCCCGCCTACTTTACAGATGGAAAAACTGAGGCTTAGATGTGACTAGGGGAGCTGAAGGAGAGAATCTACTTTGTTGTTGATGAACTACTGTGTCTTGCAGGCCTGTAGGTTTCTCACTTGGCATGGTGATTATGGAAAGTGTGAGCAGATAATTACAAATCAGGTATTTTTTATGAATTCTAGTTGTCCAGATCCAGATGTTCTGGAAAAGTGAGAAGTTGTGACAGGTTAGGCCTATAATCCCACAGGGCAGAGCTGAGGAGTTGCTGGAGTCCCCACCACTCCCTATTGTATTATACTGGCTTGCTTTCTGCACTTGTGGCAGGTGCCTGGCCCCTGAGGGATTTGAGTTTGAGACCCTTGGTCTGTTTTGTCAGTTTCAGAGAAATTCTGTAAATATGGAAACTTATCAGTGAGGAGTGTGGAGATGGCCACCCCTTCTGCTAGTAAAACAAAAGGGAACACTTTATTCTTTTCCCTTAATTTTTTTCTTTCTTCTTTTTTTGAGACAGGATTTTGCTCTGTTGTCCAGGCTGGAGTGCAGTGGTGTGATCTCGGCTTACTATAGCCTTGACCTACTGGGCTCACGCAATCCTCCTACCTCAGCTTTCTGAATAGCTGGAATTACAGGCACGCACCACCATGCCTGGCTAATTTTTTTCTTTCTTCAACTTTTATTTTAAGTTCCAGGGTACATGTATAGGACATGCAGGTTTGTTACATAGGTAAATGTGTGCCGTGGTGATTTGCTGCACAGATCAACCCATCATCTAGGAATCAAGCCCAGGATCCATTAGCTATTCTTCGTGATGCTCTCCCGCCACCTGCTCCCCAACTTGGCTTACTTTTAATTACTTAATTAATAATTAAAGATGGGGAGATAGGGTCTTACTATGTTGTCCAGGCTGGTCTCAAACCCCTGGGCTCAATTGATCTTCTCGCCTTGGCCTCTCAAATTGCTGAGATTACATGCGTGAGTCACCACGCCTGGCCTATTCTTTATTTTTATTTTTTTTAACAGAGATGGGATCTTGCTGTGTTGCCCGGGCTCATGTGCAGCTTTTGATAAGAGAGATCTGGGAAGGCCTGCCCAGAAAACTGCATGTGAGCAGAGACCTACAGGGGTGAGGGAGTGGGTGGAGCAAATACCTAGAGGAAGGCGGAGGGGAGTAAGTGCGAGGGCCCTGGGGTGGGGAGGTGTGGAGGAAACAGCAGGAAAAAGCCAGCACAGCAGGAGAAGACTAAGAGACGGTGGGTGCCTGAGAGGTGGGACAGTCCCCTTGTGAGCCAGATGAGCTGTTTGGGTTTTATTGTGAGTGTGGCAGGGAGACCTTGGAGCACCTATTTAATGCTGATTCATGGCTAGTCAGCTGGTAATGGTCAGACTGCAGTGGGAGCACTTTTCACCTCTGTGGTTCTGTTGGGTTTGGCCTGAACCTCTGTGAGGGACAGAGGCTCGCCTTGTGGGTGATAAAAGGGCTTGGTGGGCATCAGTATGGAGGAGGAGGTTGACGATAACCAAGAGATTTTAGAAACCTATGTCCCAGGCCAGGCGTGGTGGCTCACACCCATAATCTCAGCACTTTGGGAATCCGAGGCAGGCAAATGATTTGAGTTCAGGAGTTCGAGACCAGCCTAGCCAACGTGGTGAAACGCCATCTCTGCTAAAAATACAAAAATTAGCCAGGCGTGGTGGTGCACGCTTGTATTCCCAGCCCTTTGAGAGGCCAAGGCGAGAGGATCGATTGAGCCCAGGGGTTTGAGACCAGCCTGGGCAACATAGTAAGACCCCATCTGCCCATCTTTAATTATTAATTAAGTAATTAAAAGTAAGCCAAGTTGGGGAACAGGTGGCAGGAGAGCCTCAGGAAGAATAATTCAGTCGGGAGGCTGAGGCAGCAGAATCACTTGACCCTGGGAGGCGGAGGTTGCAGTGAGTGGAGAACACACCACTGTACTCCAACCTGGGTGACAGAGTGAGACTCTGTCTCAAAAAAAAAAAAAAAAAAAAAAAAAAAAAATGCATGTCTACTGTATGTTCTGAGGAGTCCCGTATTGGTATTTCCTTGCCCAAAGAGGAGCTGGGTTGGAGAAATGAGCAAGTGAGCACGGCTGTGTATGTGTTCCTGTGCATCTGTGTGTACCTGTGTGTATGCATGCATGTGCATGCTGGTGTGACTCTGTAGTCACAGGCATGTATATGCGTGTATGTGCTTATATGTGAATGTGTGCTTGTGTGCTTAAGTTCATGTGTGTGTCTGAGTATGTGTGTATGTGTGTCTTTGTGTTGTGTGTGCTTGCATATGTATAAAGTTCACAAAGGCAATGATCATACCTGGGTCACTTCATTTTGGATCCCTGGCTGGTGCCTGACACAGAAGAGAGGAAGGGGCTTATGAGTCAGTGGTTGTTGTGTGTATTATGTATCAGTGTGTGTGAGTGTGTGGCAGCTGAGTGTCCCCGTTTGTCAAATGTTGGGCTATTCTTTTTTTTTCTTTTTTTGAGATGGATTCTTGCTCTTGTTGCCCAGGCTGGAATGCAGTGGCACGACCTCGGCCCACTGCAACCCTGCCTCCTGGGTTCAAGCAATTCTTCTGCTTCAACCTCCTGAGTGACTGAGGTTATAGGTGCCCGCCACCACGCTCGACTAATTTTTATATATATATATATATATATTTTTTTAAGTCGGAGTCTTACTCTGTCGCTCAGGCTGGAGTGCAGTGGCGCGATCTCAGCTCACTGCAAGTTCCGCCTCACGGGTTCACGCCGTTCTCCTGCCTCAGCCTCCCGAGTAGCTGGCACTACAGGCTCCTGCCACCACTCCTGGCTAATTTTAAAAATATTTTTAGTAGAGACGGGGTTTCACTGTGTTAGCCAGGATGGTCTCAATCTCCTGACCTTGTGATCCGCCCGCCTCGGCCTCCCAAAGTGCTGGGATTACAGGCGTGAGCCACCATGTCCAGCCAATTTTTGTATTTTTAGTAGAGATGAGGCTTCACCACCTTGGCCAGGCTGGTCTCAAACTCCTGAACTCAGGTGATCCACCAGCCTCAGCCTCCCAAAGTGTTGGGATTACAGGGGTGAGCCACTGCACCTGGCCGAGCCGTTCTTTAGAACTGGGATTTATACAAAACAAATCATACCTTACCTGGGTGGCCACAGACCTTGGATTGCGGAGAGTAAACCGAGTCTGGTTGGGGCTGCCTGGCTAGCTAGCGTGGGGATCACCTGACCCATCAGGCTTCCTCTGGGAGCCTGGGAAGAACTCTCTTGCCATGGATGGTTCTGGAAGCTTTTTGAAGGAGGGACTTTCTGATTTCTGATCTCCCTTGGGAATCTGGATAAATTCTCTTTCACTTCTCCCCTGGGCGTATGTGTAGTAGGGTGACTCACAGAGCTGACTTGGACCTTTTTTTGTGCTTTCTGCATTCCTGGGATTCTGGCAGCCTGGGCCTGGGATCTGCTCTGCCACCCTGGGTGGCATGAAGCTCTCAGCTCTGGCAGCTAAAAGGCTGCATTGTTGGGGGGCTGGGACACCCTGACTCTTCTCCCCAGTCATTGTTTTCTGTCTCTGTCTCATCTCCCCCGGCTCCCCCTGTGTCATTGCTGGTCCTCCAAGATGGTGGAAGACACTGTTGTTTGTCTCTTTGGAGTCTCGCTCTGTCGCCAAGGCTGTAGTGCAATGGCATGATCTTGGCTCTGCAGCCTCTGCCTCCCAGGTTCAAGCGATTCTCCTGCCTCAGCCTCCTGAGTAGCTGGGACTACAGGCACGTGCCACCATGCCCAGCTAGTTTTTGTATTTTTAGCCGAGATGGGGTTTCACCACGTTGGCCAGGATGGTCTTGATCTCCTAACTTCAAGTGATCTGCCCACTTTGGCCTCCTAAAGTGCTGGGATTACAGGCTTGAGCCACTGTGCCCGGCCGTGGTCTGCCTCTTGTGCAGCGAGATCCAGCAGGGTGTCAAATGTGGGTGTGCAGGCTGCTGCATTTCTGACATTTGTGCACGTGTCCAGGAGAGAACACTTTGATTGGCTGACACTCTCTGTCCAGGAAGCCTGAACTTCCCTTTGGGTTCCTGTTCAGGAACCCCATGGGGGTGCCATTTACCTTTTTGCAGATTAGAGTTTAGACCAGGAGTTAGCCAGTAGCCCACGGGCCGAATCTGGGCTGCTCCCTGTTTTTGTAAATAAAGTTTTATTGGAACACAGCCACTCGCATTCATCACATAGTGTCTACAGGTGCCTGGAGCTGCAACAGTAGAGTTGTGTCGTTGCCACAGAGACTGTAGCACCCACAAAGTCTAAGATACCTACCGTCTTTACAAAGGAAGTTTGTCCACCCCTGGTCTCAGCATTTCTTTAGCTCTGATGACTTGTTAACTTCCTTTTTGTCCCCTTTCCAATTTCAGGCATTCTTTCTTCCTATGCAAGGCAAGGACGGGAATCGACATTTATTAGATGCCTGCTGTGTACTAACTAGCACTATGCTAAGTTCTTTTTTTTTTTTTTTTTTGAGACGGAGTCTCTCTCTGTCGCCCAGGCTGGAGTGCAGTGGCCAGATCTCAGCTCACTGCAAGCTCCGCCTCCCGGGTTCACGCCATTCTCCTGCCTCAGCCTCCCAAGTAGCTGGGACTACAGGCGCCCGCCACCTCGCCCGGCTAGTTTTTTGTACTTTTTAGTAGAGACGGGGTTTCACCGTATTAACCAGGATGGTCTCGATCTCCTGACTTCGTGATCCGCCCGTCTCGGCCTCCCAAAGTGCTGGGATTACAGGCTTGAGCCACCGCGCCCGGCTGCTAAGTTCTTTATATGCATGTCTCACTTAACTCTCACAGCAGTCCTGGTGA